TAATCACTAGAAACAAAGCTAGGCTTGTAGCTAAAGGCTACAATCAAGAAGAAGGCATTGATTATGAAGAAACTTATGCACCGGTTGCACGTTTAGAAGCTATTCGTTTATTGCTTGCATTTGCATCTACAATGGATTTTAAACTTTATCAAATGGATGTTAAAAGTGCCTTCCTTAATGGTATCATTCAAGAGGAAGTGTATGTCGAACAACCCCCGGGTTTCGAAGACTATGAGTTTCCCGAACATGTCTTCAAACTCAAAAAGGCGCTTTACGGTCTCAAACAAGCACCTCGTGCTTGGTATGAACGGTTAAGAAAATTTCTTTTGGACCATGAGTTCAAACGGGGTCAAGTCGACACTACTCTTTTTATCAAGAAAGATAACCAAGACATCCTTTTGGTTCAAGTTTACGTAGATGATATCATATTCGGTGCTACTAACGAGATTTTGTGCAGGGATTTTTCCGATATGATGCAAAGTGAATTTGAAATGTCAATGATGGGAGAATTAAAGTTCTTCCTTGGGCTGCAAATTAGACAATGCAAAGAAGGAACATTCGTGTGTCAAACAAAATATTGTAGGTAAAGATGTTGACATCAAGCGCTACCGAGGTATGATCGGCTCTTTACTTTATCTTACCGCGAGTAGACCGGATATCATGTACTCCGTTTGTATATGCGCTAGGTATCAATCATGTCCTAAAGAGTCGCACTTGGTTGCGATCAAAAGGATAATGTGATATCTCGCGGGCACGTTGAATGTAGGTCTTTGGTATCCCAAAGGTTCAACATGTCATCTTGTTGGCTATTCCGACTCGGATTTTGCAGGTTGCAAACTCGATAGGAAAAGTACCAGCGGTACTTGCCACTTATTCGGTCATTCGCTAATCTCGTGGTTTAGTAAGAAGCAGGTTAGTGTTGCACTTTCCACCACCGAAGCGGAATATGTTGCTGCGGGAAGTTGTTGTGCCCAAATTCTTTGGCTAAAACAACAACTAGTGGATTTCGGCCTTATACTTGATCACATCCCTATTAGGTGTGACAATATGAGCGCTATTAGTCTAACGAAGAACCTCGTTCTTCACTCGAGGACTAAGCACATAGAAATTAGGCATCACTTCATACGAGATCACGTCCAAAAGGGAGATGTCACAATTGAGTTTGTTGAAACGAAACATCAATTGGTAGACATTTTTACGAAACCCCTTAGTAGGGAGACTTTCTTCCACATTCGGAACGAACTTGGAATTTTGGATATCTCTATGAACTAATCCATTCTTTTTATTGACTATAATAATTTGAGCGTCGGAGGCGCGATAAATTCTTTTTTGCAGGGCTTTTTAGGTATCTCTTCCCTTGGTATTCAACCGAATTGGACTTGATGTTTTTTTCTGTCAAACAAGTTTTAATCGATTACTCCTCGAAGAGAAATCGATTAGTTGCCTCTGTCCCTCTTAATCGATTACTTGACTTTTGTTAATCGATTAAAATCCGAAACTTTTTGCTCTGCGTCACTTTAAATCGATTAATTTGGTTACATTAATCGATTAGACTCATCTGTCCATCTTAATCGATTAACCACGTTTGCTTAATCGATTAATAGCTTGAAACGCAAACGTTTGGTTCAGCTCCACGTTTAATCGATTAAAATGCTTCATTTAATTGATTTTGCCTCGGCTATGTTCCTTAATCGATTAAATACTTTCTTTTAATTGATTAATATTCGATTTATGCCCTTATATCCAGCCCAGGCTTCGTCTTCTTCGCCATTCTCCTGTTAAGAAATCCGAAACCCTAACACCTTCCCTTCTCCAATATTTCTCAAATTTCTTCCATCTTCTCACCAAATCCCATCAATTTCAAAGAGGAAGGATGCCAAGGTGCAAGAACGCTTCATCGCGTCAAGAATCGGCGGTAGAGGAGAGTGAGAGGCCATGGCGTCGTGAAGGGAGCAAGTATATTCACATTCAAACCGGACTCGCCTTCAACACTGGGGCTTCAGTCGAGAGGTTCCACAACATCTTCCTCACGAAGGAGATCGTCTCTCCTAAGATCGTGAACAAGGACCTCTTCAAATCAGCGACCTATGCCCCGAGTAAGTCTCTTCTCCTTCAGCAAGGTTTGCTTCGTTTCATCCATTTGACGTATGAATTCTTTTGTCCAAATCTTATACATCAATTTTATGCAAATATTCGTACCACTAAGGGAGACTCGCCATCTCTCATTTCCTATGTTGACGGCAAAACCGTTTTCATTGACGGTGCCAGTTTGACTTCTTTGTTTGGCCTTCGTCGCGGTGAAATTACCAAAAACTTGGATGAAACATTCCAAGATGAGGCAATTTGGCGACAACTCGGGTTAGATCATCGTGACCTCAAGTTTAGAAATTCTAGCAACCCGAGTGTCATTAATCTCACTTTAATTCAACGCGTCCAACAATACATCTTCTCATATGTTTTGTTGCCCCGTGATTCGAACCATGGCGTTCTCAACAAGGACGATATTCGTTTGTTTCACGTCCTGTTGAACGATGTCAAATTTGATTGGGTTCACTTCTTTATCGTTGCACTTAGCGATGGCACTCGTTTTTCCCATCTCCGTTTTGCCATCCCCATTATGCATATCCTTGCTCATTGCAAAATAGACTTTACTCGGGACACTCAGGTGCCGGTCAAGAAGACGTGTTTCATCACTGAAGCCAAGTTTTCCCGGATCGTGTATCGAGAGGAGGGCGATGCTGCACCAAATCTGGACCTAATAGTCGCAGAAGAAGAAGAAGAGAGCCAAAACGAGACTCAAGCTGAGTCATCTCGAGCCGGAGGAAGTCGAGCCACGGAGCGCGTCACTCGTCAACGGAGGACTCGTCCAAGAGAAGAAGCACCAGAACCTTCTTGGGTGAAGAGGATCTTCGATACTCTCACGTGCATCCGAGATGACGTTCGCCAGCTCAACGAGAGGATGACTCGTTTTGAGCAATTTCGCTCCTACCGTGGCCCGCGTCACAGCTTTAGCGGAGGAGCTCGTCCGACGAACTCTCTTTGATTGTTATTTTCTTTCTCTCTTGACTGATTATGATACATTGTTATTTGTTATGACTCTTTTTGTGGATGATGATGTTTCCTTTCGGTGATGTTAGTTGATATTAATTATGATTGTGTATTGATATCATTGTTGGATTGGCAATATTGTTCTTGTTTAGAACATATTGTCCCTTTGTGGCTTTTTTTACTAAGAGTTCTCTTTTAAAGAGAACTCTTGCCAATTTTTTTGCTTTCCTTCAATATCCCGGCATTGTTTAAGGGGGAAGGTTATCGGTTGATAATGCCAAAAGGGGGAAGGAAGGATAGTTGAGAATTTTTTAAAATCGTTTTTCCGCTTATTACTCCGATTATTTTTACTGCACTTCTCTAACCTTGCAGGGGAAATTTTTCTGAAAAGGTAGTAATTTCTGAACTCTTACTTTGCTCTTTCTCAACTATGTTTGTCATTATCAAAAAGGGGGAAATTGTTTGACATGAGTTCAAACCCCTTTTCTATTTCTTCTGGAATATTTTTTGTTTTGATGAATGACAAACAGGATGTATAATTTCAAGCTGATCGAAAATTTATTTTCGTATCGAGAAAAGCAAAGAAGGGTATCAAGAAGTGTACGACGATAAAAATCGACGATCACCCCTACGCAGATTTTTTTTTAAGAGAAGTGAAGACTCCGAAGATTTTTTTATTTTTTAATTAAGTCTAGGAATCTTTGTAAGGATGACAATTTTTTTCTGCACAAACAAATTATTTTTGAGGGATAAAAATTATTATTTTTTGAGTCAGTTGAAAAATTACTTTTCCTCTGTCTAAAATATTTTACTGAGTCAGTTTCAAAATAAGTGTGTCAAAACTTCTTAAAAACATTTTTTTTAGATTACACAATTTTTTTTTGGTAAGAAAAAAATATACTTTAAATATTTTTCGTGTACATCGTTTGACACACAAAATAATTTTTGGACTCACTTTTTCTCCCCTATTCAAAATTCATTGAATAAGGGACTTGAGGAGCGTTCTTGTCTCAAAAAAACAAGTATACGCCAATTCACTTCATATCGCAACTGGCTTGGGCCCTTTTGTGTTGCGCATTATTTCCTCCATAACCGGTTAACTTCCTTAAAATAATCGATTAATAGGCTTGTCGTTGGATTCCCTGGTCTGACTAATAATCGATTTTTTGTCTTCAATTAATCGATTAGTTCGGACAGAGTCGACTAATCGATTTTTAGGCCTTCTGTTAATCGATTATTTATGTTCTTCCATTCAGGTTTTTCGCCTCTGTGTACCGTAATCGATTTATTTATCTACGTTAATTGATTAATTTTATCTGGTGCATATCCTCAGCGTTCTCCAACGGATTTATTTTCCTCAGCCTATTTAATCCCTCATTCTCCTTCATTTCTAATACATCTCTTGCACTCCAAAAATATTTCTTGAGCTATACTCATCCCTTGCTTCATCTTCCTCATCAAAATATTATTTTTTGAGAGTTAGAAATATTTTTCTTTGAGTGCTTAAAGAAGTTGTCATCCATAGAGCTTTAATTCTTCAACACTACTTTGCTCAATTTTGTGAGCTTTCATTCTTGTGTTGTAAACTCAATCTCATTTGAGTGTTCTTCTTAAGACTTGTGTGACTCAAGTCTTGTTGTTGTAAGAAAGTGAGGCTTGTGTAATTCAAGTTCTCAAGTTGTACCGGTTTTTCAAGCACCCGTTGAAGTTTGAAGATTAGTAGGACTTTCGAGAGAGTCTCTCGGAGGACTAGATTAGCCACGAGGTGGTGAACCAGTATAAATCTCGGTGTTCTTCTTTCCCTTACTCTCTTTATTTATTCCTGCGATTCTATTATTTCACACACGCGAAAAACGCACATTCTTGAAAACAACTCTATTCACCCCCCCTCTAGAGTTGCACATTTGTCTAACACCTGCGTCAGCTTGTATCAATTAATGGGGTACGAATCGATTAGCTTCATTTTGATTTGGTCTTAGGGGTACAATACCCTAGGTGAGAAATGTTAAATACCGTGTCAGTTCACCGTCACTGATTTGGCCTCTTCACCCGGGTCTAGAGTGGACTCTATATTTCTCTCTCGCTCCTCTTATGCATTTAAGTCGAAAATCACACACGGCCGAGTACGTGACAACTTTAGAGGTCGAGCTTATAATTTCTAGTGGAGTTCGAACCGAGCTTGAGAAGGTGACCGAGTCCGAACTCAAGGTCATGACGGAGTCTAAATTTGCCGGATAGTGTTGTGAGCTCTGGCTCAGTGGTGGTGCTCTCCACCAACTGATTCCATTGGTGCTGGGTGCGCTCTATTCGGCCGAGCGCCTGTTCTGATTCCAAATAACTCGAGGGGCTTTGAGAAGTTTGTCCCGGTTTTCTCTTCGTACGATAGAGTACATGTTCTGATATCTGAATACGATGTTCTCCACTATTTTTGATCTCACCGGCTGCGACCCAGCTTCACGATTTAGCTCAGATATGCACCTGATCCTAATCTATGTGATCTATACTCAGATTTGCGCCATGTTTGCTTCTACGATTTGGGTATTTCGTCAAAAAAGAAAATAAAAAGAAAATCACAAAAAAAAGAAAATCACTTCCACGCGACTTCATGTTCGCTTCCATGCGACTCTATGCAGCTGTGCATCATCGGGCTTCCACGCCACAATACGGACTCACGCGGTCCTCGTCATTGCGCAAGCAAATCCCTCCGGAGGGTAACGCAAGGTCCTGCTTAGGACAAAAACTTGCAGTCCTACTGAGGACAAATATTAGATCTGCTTAGATCGCACTTATACGCTACCACGCGTCATCGGTGCCACGCCGCCCAAAAAAAACGAAAAAGGATTTTCTCATGTTTTGTCTTCTAGGTACAAAGTGGGAGACCTCAAGACATATGCAGCTTCAGAAATGTCAGCGCAGTCTACCCGCCTAGCAATACTCAACGTGGACAACAACTGCAGGCTATCACATTTTCTACTAATCCTTGTTTTGCAGGATGAGATCCCGTCTTTTCACGGATCACACATTATTTCACCAAAAGCCCTCTCCTGAGGTCGGTCCCATCCACCTCAAGAGGACTCAGCTTTTCCCGAGGTCGGCCTCAGTCACCTCGCAAGACACTTAAGCCCTCGTCTCCCGAGGCACCCAAAAGCCCTCTCCTGAGGTCGATTCTAGCTACCTCACGAGGCACTTAAGCCCTTGTCTCCCAAGGCAACTAAAAGCCCTCTCCCGGGGTCGGTCCTATCCACCTCACGAGGCACAAGACTCTTTTCCCGAGGTCGGCCTCAGCTACCTCGCACGTCACTCAAGCCCTTGTTTCCCGAGGCAACTAAAATCCCACTCCCGAGGTCGGTCCCATCCACCTCACGAGGCACTCGACTCTTTTCAGAGGTCGGCCTTAGCCACCTCGCACGTCACTTAAGTCCTCATTCCTCGAGGCAACCAAAAGACCTCTCCCGAGGTCGGTCCCATCCACCTCACGAGGACTCAGCTTTTCCCGAGGTCGACCTCAGCCACCTCGCAAGACACTTAAGCCCTCATCTCCCGAGGCACCCAAAAGCCCTCTCCTGAGGTTGGTTCTAGCCACCTCACGAGGCACTTAAGCCCTTGTCTCCCAAGGCAACTAAAAGCCCTTTCCCGAGGTCGGTCCTAGCCACCTCCCTAGGCACTCAACTTTCTCCCGAGGTCGGCCTCGGCCACCTCGCAAGTTGCTCAAGCCCTTGTCTCCAAGGCAACTAAAAGCCCTCTACCGAGGTCGGTTCCATCCACCTCATGAGGCACAAGACTCTTTTCCTGAGGTCGGCCTCAGCCACCTCGCACGTCACATAAGTCCTCATTCCCCGAGGCAACTAAAAGCCCTCTCCCGAGGTTAGTCCCATCCACCTCACGAGGCACTAAAGTTATCTCCCAGACAATTTCAACGCTTTTCCCGAGGTTGGCCTTGACCACCTCACAAGGCATATAAGCCCTCGTCTCACTAGGCATCTTAAGCCCTCTTCTCGAGGCACTCTTCAATGCCGTCCCAAGGCACACTCCCTAGTGCACTTTCTAGGGCATAATCTTAAATACTCATAGAATGGGCGGCCTGGCCAGGCTGATCGGCCAAGCCCATCGCATTATTTGCATTTGCTTAAGATTTTTTCGGGCAAATCATTATATGAAGGAAAGTCGCCATAGAGCAAGGGGACCAAAGACTCCCACCAGAGCCGAGCATGGGCACTACTCCCTTTCACCTCGGAATTCTTCCTCGGCTTAGGGAGTGGGGGACTCTAGGTACTCGGCTCATGATTGTTACATCTTCGGGTACTCGGCTCGTGATTGTTACATCCACACCGTGAGAACGTGGCAGATCGACATCTCGATCTAATGTGGCACTACGGTAGTTCATGCCGGCATGCACTTTTTGGCAATATTTTATGGCGAACAACCCTTGGTCCCAGACAACGAGTCCGGGGGACTGGAAGATCACCCCTTCTGAGATTCACACAGTTCTTTTACTCGAAGACCTCACACCCTTATAATGTTTTTCTTGATCCTCTCTGTGGGACGAGATGCACTCTTTTCTTGACCGAGGATTTTTTCCCATCCTCATGGGTTTTTTCCTCGGCAAGTTTTTAATGAGGCATCCCCCATGGAGTGAGTCACACATTGACGGGATTGTGGGGAGATCCTTGAAGACGACGATGTACTTTTCATTTAACGGTACCGAACCAACTATGTACTCATTCAGCTCACTGAAGTACGAGCAATTCCCCATCATATGATTGTTTGCGCCATTATCCAATTGCCACTCGTCCTGATTTAAACTTCTGGATTCTAGTTTCTTCAGTAGGACTTTAGTTTCATTCTGGAACACCGCTTCGTTAACAATCCATGCCATCAGGAGAGAACTTTCTACTTCATCTGTCGTAGCAAAATGGGCTTCTCCATGTTGTTCTGGAAAGTTGGATGCAAAGTTTCCAAACTTGTCGCATGAGTAGCATTGTATCTTTGACATGTTGCGGTTCTGCCCTTTCCCCATTGGTTCTTTCTAGTCTCATGTGTTCTGCGGCCACCACGACCTTCGAGACCACCTTTTCCTCCATGGTTACCAGATTTGTGACTTTGTTGACTTGAAGACCCAACACCCTAATACAAAATAAGATTTTGGACTGGGACTCTACCGTCTCATCATCCTTTACCCACTCTTCATATGCCTTCAATCGCCTAACAATGTCTTCAAAACTGGTCTTCTTGAGGTCAAGTGTGTGCTTCAAGTCTGTTATAACCTAGATAAACTTAGAGCACAATAAGCTTTTCAAGAACTTCTTCACCATCTTGTGACTACTTATTTTCCGCCCAAGCGACATTGACTTTGATTCTATGATAGAGAGTTTCGTATAAAACTCGTCAACAGATTTTGTCTCCTTCATCTTCAGATTCTCGATCAAAGTCTGTAGACAATGTTTGATGTCTAGCCTCCCGTACTCGATCTCGCCATCATATCGGATCTTGGGTGCATCCCAGATTGCCTTCGTCGTAGTGAGCTCTCCAACTTATTCCACCAATTTTTCCGGAACATATTGGAAGATAAGAACGACCGTCATGTCATTCTTTTCCCCTTGCATCACCATCTGCGTCACCTCCCATACCTTGTACACCATCATAATTGCCCTCATGCGTACGATCCATACATTGTAATTTTTGGAGGTGAGCAGTGTGAATTGAATTGAATGAACCAAATCTTGCCCCTTCAATGAAGAAGATGTGTCTGATGTAATGTCCAACATCTGCTCCGATACAAAATAACACAGACACAATCACATGGTGCTGTTGGGACAGACGTCCATGCTTTGTACTCCCTCCGTCCCATGAAACATGGGACTTTTGCTTTTTAGGAGGGATTTAAGGGGAGTGTATTTTGGTATTGAATTTCCAAAAATGTCCTTTGATGTGATGGGTAAAAGTATGATTTGATGGATAGATTATTAGTAAAAAGGTATGATGTGATAGTTAGGGTATGAAAAAATAAGGGGTAAAAGTGACTCTTTAATAGAAATGAGAAGTGTTTTGTGGGACGGATAAAAAAAGAAAGGAGAAAGGTTTCATGAGACGGAGGGAGTATTAAATAAAGCTGACTCAAAAAGTCAATACAAAGAATCCCTCATAGTTTTTGCGATGATATAAACCCTACATTGCTACATCTAGTTACTTAGGGACCAAGTAACACAAACAAACTCTAATTACTCTTACACGGGACGGCCACTAATCCTGCACGATGAGGCCCTAAATAAGAAATTGTCCAACAGTAACAATGATATTATGTTTTAGACCAGTCACTCTTGTTGATGATGTGCTTAAAGGAATTGCACCATATGTAAATTTCACGGTTAATGAAAACTCATATAGATAAAGATATTATTTGGGATATAATATAAAATTCATCCCCATCCCACCGGTGAATAAAGAAAGTTGTTTTCAGAACGATAAGAATAATATTACAAAGATATAGAACGAGACTATGCCAATTTTGTTGACGTTGGTGCGTTTGATGAAGTTGATGACAGACCTTTACAATAAATTTTGGGTGAATCATTTTCCCAAGTTATGAGAATTATGAACAAAATTATACCCACTATTCTATAGCACTTTGAAGTTGAGAAACTCATCAACAATTAAAATCAAATTTGATAGAGCATGTATGATATTTTGATAATAATACATATTATTATATAAATTTATGTTTAACTTTTATGTATTTGCATGAGTTATTTTAATTTTTGCATTCATGTTATTAATTAATGTAATTCTTGAAATTTTAGAATGATTAAATTAAATAATTTCATCTCAAATTTATTTATACTAATTAATTTAGGCCGACTTTCAAAGCATACGCTTCAACAGGAAGATAGGGAGTAGATATGGGAAAGCTGGAAAAGGTGGGGCCTGCGTCAGCTTGTATCAGTTAATGGGGTACGAATCGATTAGCTTCATTTTGATTTGGTCTTAGGGGTACAATACCCTAGGTGAGAAATGTTAAATACCGTGTCAGTTCACCGTCACTGATTTGGCCTCTTCACCCGGGTCTAGAGTGGACTCTATATTTCTCTCTCGCTCCTCTAATGCATTTAGGTCGAAAATCACACACGGCCGAGTACGTGACAACTTCAGAGGTCGAGCTTATAATTTCTAGTGGAGTTCGAACCGAGCTTGAGAAGGTGACCGAGTCTGAACTCAAGGTCATGACGGAGTCTAAATTCGCCGGATAGTGTTGTGAGCTCTGGCTCAGTGGTGGTGCTCTCCACCAACTGACTCCATTGGTGCTGGGTGCGCTCTATTCGGCCGAGCGCCTGTTCTGATTCCAAATAACTCGAGGGGCTTTGAGAAGTTTGTCCCGGTTTTCTCTTCGTACGATAGAGTACATATTCTGATATCTGAATACGATGTTCTCCACTATTTTTGATCTCACCGGGCTGTGGTCCTTATCTATGTGATCTATACTCAGATTTGCGCCATGTTTGCTTCTACGATTTAGGTATTTCGTCAAAAAAGAAAAGAAAAAGAAAATCACAAAAAAAGAAAATCGCTTCGACGCGACTTCATGTTCGCTTCCATGCGACTCTATGCAGCTGTGCATCATCGGGCTTCCACGCCATCATGTTGAACAAATTGTAATCAAACCCATATGTATGCGTTAAATTTAACTTCTTTCTTCAATCAATGCATTCAATTCATCATGTTCATCCTAGACGCATGTCCTAGGGTCATCATCATGTGCATACCGCTGTAGGGAGGTCAGGCTTTCGTGCCCCTACTACAGTGGGCCTGTCCAGGAACCTTTGGGATCCAACGGGTTTTCATCAGGTGGGCTTTGTGTACGTACATGGTAGTCAGGCTACGGCTACCACCCAGTTTTGCTAGTTCACTTGCGACGTTTTGTCGAGCCCGGCTCATTACCGGAGTGCAGGGGTGATCCTGTCAAGTGAGACTAAGTCAGGGGTATCATGCATCAAGTCATATCGTCATCCTAGCCGCATCTCCCTTCACATCACTCCCAGGGAAAGGTACACCGTTATTTTAATCGCATGTATGATATATTGTAATTAGTTCTCATTTAAGTTATTTCCATAGAGAATGAGTCAAGCAGCAGGCAACGATGGACAGGCTGTCCCACATGAGGGGCCTGAGCACGTGAGCGTGCACACAGAAGCATCGAGCTTCACACCCCAGCAGGTCCTAGAGCAGGTAGCCCCGGGTGCGGGTCCTGTTCCGGAAGTCGTACTCATCAACAACCGCAGTTCGCGGCTAACTTCATGAACTTCCTCCAGCAGTTGGCTGGCGCATATGTTCCACCTCCGCCACCACCGCCACCACCGGTGGCTGTGGTCACCATCGAGAAGCTCCGGAAGAACGGAGCTGAGGAATTCTTAGGCGACCAGATCGCCGACCCCATGATCGCTAAACGATGGTTTGAGCGAATCGTACGAGTTTTGGGAAACCTTAGGGTTCCACAAGATCAGCGCGGCGACCTCGCAGTCGCATTACTTCAGGATTCCGCCTACGACTGGTGGAAACGCGTGGGAGCAGACGTCCCTGAGCCCGTGCAGTGGCCCACATTCGATCGACTCTTCCATGAAGAGTACATTCCAGAGCACTTCGTCGAGGCGAAGCGAGAGGAGTTCTTGAAATTCACCCAGGGCGAACTCACACTACCTGAGTATCGTCAAAAGTTTGACGAGCTCGCAGGATTTGGGCAAGACCTCGTCCCAACCATGGAGAAGCGGTGCAAGCGCTTCGTGGAGGGTCTACGCCCCGACTTATCAGCGCATCTGATCACTGCTCCTCGGGTTGACATCAATGCACTGTTCAAGCATGCGTTGGACATGAATGCAGCCCTCATCAAGAAGGCCGAGTACGAGCAGGCCCAGACGACGCATCCTCGTCCACCTCCTCCTAGCTCAAGCAGCAAGGGGTATCCCTCCGTGCCAAGCAGCCCGCACACAAGCAAGAATACCAAGTCAACACATGCCCCGTCACCAGTGCCTACACAGGAAAGCGGGAAGAACCCGAGTAAGAGTAGATATCGGTACTCAATCAGCACCCTATGCGGTCGAAGGCACCCCAGAGAGTGTTGGTTTACTCAGGGCTTATGCCTAGGGTGTGGTCAGGCCGGGCATTTCCGTAGGGACTGCCCGACAAACCCTGGCGAGGCGTTTACGACAGAAACCGAAGCTCTAGCCCCAGCCGCCCAGCCCGCTCGGAGCCAAAGATCGATAGCAGCGTCCAGCCAGCCCAATAGGCCGACGCTGAGTCTGGAGAGGCTTCAGCTCGCACAAACGCAAAGCGCGGACGCATTGAGTAGTTCGCACATGACGTAATCATGGTGATCAATGACTAGGTAAATTTTGAGGACGAAATTTTTCTTAAGGGGTGCATAATTGTAACGCCCTACAACCGGTCTATTAGAACTGATTGTTTTAAATAATTAATTACTGTTCCGGTCCAGAGTTGGGGAAAATAAAAAGTTCTTAGGAAAATTTATTTGAACATGTCATTAAATTCATTTTGACCGTCTGTTTCCAAAAATGTAAACGGTTTTCAATTCGTACCCGTTCGGGGGAAAAACTGTGTACCATTCAGGTCAGATTTTACATAACGGAGTAGAATTTAGGGAATTAATTCCCCACTTAACTCTTAACACGCCATTCCTCTCCCTCCCACATTCATCCACCATTATTTGTCATCAATTGCCCATTAATCCTCATCATTACCCATCCCATATAATGACTCCTTCCTCTCTTCACTTTCCCCACCACACTTGTAACCCCCCAACCATTCACACCCTCACATCTCTCTCACTTATTTCCGGCCAAGGCAGCAGCAGCTCGGGGAGGAGTGCCGGCAAGTAGACGAAGGGGAAGAAAGGAGAGGGAAGGAAGGAAGGCCAGCGGGAAGCCGTTCGTTGTCCGTTCATTAGAACCATTCGTTCATTCATTTTGTTTCCGTTTCATCAACCCCTTTTCATTTAGAGGTGAGTAGTTGTCCCTCTAATTCTAGAACATCAAGTCATAATCTATGTTGTTATATTCATAGGAATATCGTACGCAACCTACGTAGAAACTATGCATGTTCGTAGGTTAACCATCCAACATACGTGAGTCCGTGTTATCAAGTTACGAACTCGTTAATACAAGCATAATGAAACTCCGTATATTCATGGAAAACTTAACATGTAATCATAAACGTTCGTTTCAAAAAAAACTCCTAACGTATTGATGATAACCAAACAGTCAAAATGGGAATCAGCGTGCCTTGATAATCGATTTACAGAACAGAATAATCGACTATCAGGTCACGCTGAACTCTTCAGTTCATCCAGCATAGTGTGACAATCGATTATCACATAGGAAATAATCGATTACCAGGGCTCTCTGAACTTAGGACTTTCTGAACAAACCAACTTGACAATCGGATGTCATAGGGTGACAATCGACTATCACAGTCTGCGGGACTTTGGGGGCAGAAGCTGCATAACATGATAATCGATTATCAGCAGTAGACAATCGATTATCAGCCAGTTCTGAACCTAAGGCCATCATGTTGAACAAATTGTAATCAAACCCATATGTATGCGTTAAATTTAACTTCTTTCTTCAATCAATGCATTCAATTCATCATGTTCATCCAAGACGCATGTCCTAGGGTCATCATCATGTGCATACCGCTGTAGGGAGGTCCGGCTTTCGTGCGCCTACTACAGTGGGCCTGTCCAGGAACCTTTGGGATCCAACGGGTTTTCATCAGGTGGGCTTTGTGTACGTACATGGTAGTCAGGCTACGGCTACCACCCAGTTTTGCTAGTTCACTTGCGACGTTTTGTCGAGCCCGGCTCATTACCGGAGTGCAGGGGTGATCCTGTCAAGTGAGACTAAGTCAGGGGTATCATGCATCAAGTCATATCGTCATCATGTATGTTACATGTCACGTCAACATTCAATGCGGTTGTCATCATCATGTATGATTTCCATCATGTCCATATTCAATGTGGTTGTTATTCATTTTGTTATGTGTAATAATATCCCATCAAGTGCAAATTAATCAGTTAGCAAACATGTGGTTTTCCGTACGTTAAGTACAGGTGTTTATATGTGTATAACCATATGGGTTATCACTTCATGTTCTTTTGTTAGATTCACTCCTCAGCTTTTGCTGAGCGTGTAGTTGTTTTTGCTACACGCAGGTAGACTTGACGGTGCAGGTGCTAACCCTGGAGGACAGTGATGGTGGGGAAGATGGGCGGCGCATGGGCAAGTTCAATAATTAAATACATTTAATTAATTAATCATTTGGGCATGAACCCACCATTTGTCATTTTACTCATTTATTTACTTCCGCTTTTACTCTGCATTTATATCACACACGTTATGGGGTTAACTCCCTAGCATTTATTTCACTAATTAAAACACAACCGTTTTCATAATAAATAGTCATTAATGCGTTTTTCTCTACGGACGGTTCTCGGACTGCCCATGTAACCCTACCGGTCCGTTGGGTCGCAGGTGAACCGGGTCCGCGGAAGGCGGGTGTTACATTGACCACCTCACAAGGCATATAAGCCCTCGTCTCACGAGGCATCTTAAGCCCTCTTCTCGAGGCACTCTTCAATGCCGTCCCAAGGCACACCCCCTAGCCCACTTTCTAGGGCACAATCTTAAATACTCATAGAATGGGCGGCCTGGCCAGGCTGATCGGCCAAGCCCATCGCATTATTTGCATTTGTTTAAGATTTTTTCAGGCAAATCTTTATATGAAGGAAAGTCGCCATAGAGCGAGGGGACCAAAGACTCCCACCAGAGCCGAGCATGGGCACTACTCCCTTTCACCTCGGAATTCTTCCTCGGCTTAGGGAGTGGGGGACTCTAGGTACTCGGCTCATGATTGTTACATCTCCGGGTACTCGGCTCGTGATTGTTACATCCACACCGTGAGAACATGGCAGATCGACATCTCGATCTAATGTGGCACTACAGTAGTTCATGCCGGCATGCACTTTTTGGCAATATTTTATGGCGAACAACCCTTGGTCCCGGACAACGAGTCCGGGGGACTGGAAGATCGCCCCTTCTGAGATTCACACTGTTCTTTTACTCGAAGACCTCACACCCTTATAATGTTTTTCTTGATCCTCTCCGTGGGACGAGATGCACTCTTTTCTTGACCGAGGATTTTTTCCCATCCTCATGGGTTTTTTCCTCGGCAAGTTTTTAATGAGGCATCCCCCATGGAGTGAGTCACACATGGAGTCAGTAGCATTGTATCTTTGACATGTTGCGGTTCTGCCCTTTCCCCATTGGTTCTTTCTAGTCTCATGTGTTCTGCGGCCACCACGACCTCCGAGACCACCTTTTCCTCCATGGTTACCAGATTTGTGACTTTGTTGACTTGAAGACCCAACACCCTAATACAAAATAAGAGTTTGGACTGGGACTCTACCATCTCATCATCCTTTACCCACTCTTCATATGCCTTCAATCGCCTAACAATGTCTTCAAAACTGGTCTTCTTGAGGTCAAGTGTGTGCTTCAAGTCTGTTATAACCTAGATAAACTTAGAGCACAATAAGCTTTTCAAGAACTTCTTCACCATCTTGTGACTACTTATTTTCCGCCCAAGCGACATTGACTTTGATTCTATGATAGAGAGTTTCGTATAAAACTCGTCAACAGATTTTGTCTCCTTCATCTTCAGATTCTCGATCAAAGTCTGTAGACAATGTTTGATGTCTAGCCTCCCGTACTCGATCTCGCCATCATATCGGATCTTGGGTGCATCCCAGATTGCCTTCTTCGTAGTGAGCTCTCCAACTTATTCCACCAATTTTTCCGGAACATATTGGAAGATAAGAACGACCGTCATGTCATTCTTTTCCCCTTGCATCACCATCTGCGTCACCTCCCATACCTTGTACACCATCATAATTGCCCTCATGCGTACGATCCATACATTGTAATTTTTGGAGGTGAGCAGTGTGAATTGAATTGAATGAACCAAATCTTGCCCCTTCAATGAAGAAGATGTGTCTGATGTAATGTCCAACATCTGCTCCGATACAAAATAACACAGACACAATCACATGGTGCTGTTGGGACAGACGTCCATGCTTTGTACTCCCTCCGTCCCATGAAACATGGGACTTTTGCTTTTTAGGAGGGATTTAAGGGGAGTGTATTTTGGTATTGAATTTCCAAAAATGTCCTTTGATGTGATGGGTAAAAGTATGATTTGATGGATAGATTATTAGTAAAAAGGTATGATGTGATAGTTAGGGTATGAAAAAATAAGGGGTAAATGTGACTCTTTAATAGAAATGAGAAGTGTTTTGTGGGACGGATAAAAAAAGAAAGGAGAAAGGTTTCATGAGACGGAGGGAGTATTAAATAAAGCTGACTCAAAAAGTCAATACAAAGAATCCCTCATAGTTTTTGCGATGATATAAACCCTACATGGCTACATCTAGTTACTTAGGGACCAAGTAACACAAACAAACTCTAATTACTCTTACACGGGACGGCCACTAATCCTGCACGATTAGGCCCTAAATAAGAAATTGTCCAACAGTAACAATGATATTATGTTTTAGACCAGTCACTCTTGTTGATGATGTGCTTAAAGGAATTGCACCATATGTAAATTTCACGGTTAATGAAAACTCATATAGATAAAGATATTATTTGGGATATAATATAATATTCATCCCCATCCCACCGGTGAATAAAGAAAGTTGTTTTCAGAACGATAAGAATAATATCACAAAGATGTAGAACGAGCATGTGGGGTGAGGCTCAACTAGCAATTCTACACGGCCATGCATGATTTTTATCATTAGAGTAATATCAAAACTATCATGAGAGCATATCATATTGCATAATATGATAATTGAAGATGAGCGAGACTATGCCAATTTTGTTGACGTTGGTGCGTTTGATGAAGTTGATAACAGACCTTTGCAATAAATTTTGGGTGAATCTTTTTGCCAAGTTATGAAAATTATGAACAAAATTATACCCACTATTCTATAGCACTTTGAAGTTGAGAAACTCATCAACAATTAAAATCAAATTTGATAGAGCATGTATGATATTTTGATAATAATACATATTATTATATAAATTTATGTTTAACTTTTATGTATTTGCATGAGTTATTTTAATTTTTGCATTCATGTTATTAATTAATGTAATTCTTGAAATTTTACAATGATTAAATTAAATAATTTCATCTCAAATTTATTTATATTAATTTATTTATTTAATTTTTTTATATTAATTACTGATATGTAATTTAGTTTCAATAAATTTATAAACTGAAATAATTATATAGTATTAATGTTAATAATAAAATCATAATGGGGGTGACATAATAAATACTCCATTTGTAGTGAATTTATCATCATAATCAATATCCTAAATTCTTGACAAGTTTTATTTGTTTGTACATTTTCGT